TTTTTTTAACAGATGTTACCTAGACTTATTGTGGTGATCATTTTGCAACATATACAAATATCAAATCATGCTACACACCTGAAACTAACGTGATATGTCAATTACATCTCAATCACCAAGTTTATAATGTCACAAAATTAACATGTGATATAATATCGGCTTGTTTGACCTTGTAAACCAACCATGTAATTGCATTATTTAGTTTCATTTTTAGGCAGATGTGGCATGAAAACAACGAGGTCCCCACCTAGAAGATCCTTTCTCAAGGGATGCTTCAGATGATTGATCACAGCTACCCAGAAAATTCTCACATTAACTTTCACTTCTACCAAAATAATCACAAGAGGCCAGAAATGGCTCTTCTTTATCTGGGTACCCAAGAACCGCAGAAACTTCTGTACACCTGTGGTGCATTTTCCATTCTCTCTTTTTCTCGTTAATAATTCTTTCTACCAACAAATTTGAGTGCAGTGTCTAAATGTGCATCAGCTGACTGCCAGCAACTCATGAAATTCTGCGCTCGAAATTCCGAATCTGTGCTGGTACCTTTTTGATATCGGCCTCTACCGCTTCTCCAGAGTGCTCCGTTAGCCAGGCTGTGTCAAACCCAGGGGCATCGTTCGGCTCCTGGCTCCTTGCCACCTGCCGCCGAAACCTTGCATTTTCCTGTTTTAGTTCGTTGACCTGCTGCTGGAGTTGGGCGTTCTTTACCTTCTCGTTTTCAGATGCGGACTGCAAATGATGAACTTGAGTGAGCAGCTTTTTGAGTGTTGCTTTCAGTTTCTGTCTTTCTTCCAGGTGTTCCTTCTCATGCTTCTGAAATTCCTCCTGTAAAGACTGGAACTCTTGTTCTTGGGCCTTCTTCTCCCTTCTCAGCAAGTCCAGAGTGGAGGTGGTAGCCTTTTCCAGCTCCCCCTTGAGTTGCTGCCGTTTCTCCACCTCCTCTTCTTTCTCCCTTAGGCTTCTGTCCATCTTTAGGCACTGACTGACGGTTTCATCTTCCTGTTGCATTTCAGTCATGTACCTTTCCTGTAGGTGAATGTAATTGCCCTTGATCTTCTTAAGCTCCAGCTCTAAGGTTTCCTTTTCATGCCTAGCTTCCTGAAGATGCTTTTGGGTTTGAGTTAAGACCTCGTGCAAATTCTTCAGTGTCTTGTCAGTGTCATTCTTCTCTAGCATCACTCTGTATTTGTCTTCAATTAATTCTTCCACCTTGGCCTTCAGCTTATTTATGATGTCCACGAACACCTGCTGTTTGGTAGTCTGCTTCTGTAGTTCTTCAACCTTCTTCTCTAAATATTTGGTGCTACTCTGCAGGTCTTGGATCCGAGTTTGCTGCTGTTTGTTAGTGTGCTGTAATGTCTGTAAGACTTCATTTAAAGCCATATCCTCTTCTGGAAGTTGTAAGCTTTCCAAGCTCTGCTTTGTGTCAGGCATCTTGCCATCACTTGGAGATGCTCCACGACCCCAAGTAGTGCCTGCAGGAGGCCAAGGTGAGCCCATCCGTGGCCTGTCCATGCCCTCCACGGCGACCTCCTTATGGTGACAGACTGGCATCTCAGGAATATCCCCAAAGGTCTGTATTCCTTTCGAAGACACTGAGATCTATAAAGTAGAGTATATGAGTGTGAAAAAGAGTATAAAGATCATGAGTTTTGAAATCATATATAGCTGGCTTTGAATTCTAGGCCTCTAGTTTAGTTATAAAAGTTATAACCTCAGTCATAAAAGAGCAATGATAATGTCTTCTTCCAATAAAATAACACCTACTTTTTTTTTTCCCCTAAGATTTTATTTATTTATTTGACACACAGAGAGAAACAGTGAGAGAAGGAACAAAAGCAGGGGGAGTGGGAGAGGGAGAAGCAGGCTTCCCCCCGAGCAGGGAGCCCAATGCAGGACTCGATCCCAGAATCCTGGGATCATGACCGGAGCCGAAGGCAGACACTTAACAACTGAGCCACCCAGGCGCCCCCAATAATAATAATAACTACTTAACAGACATTCTTAAGTAGAAACTGCTACATGTATATGTAGCACCCAAAAGCACAGCAGAGCACAAACAGTAGTTATATGATAGAGGTATGTATCACATTTACTTTTGCGGAAGAAAAACTCAGCTTTGATACCAACTTTTCTGAACACATGTGAGGTACTTTCTTTAACTTCAAATGAATTCAAAGAAATTTATCAATTACCCTATAGTCTGTGATGCCTCTTTTGAATGAAGACTTCTTTTGCTGCTCATTAAATCATTATCTCATGGCTATGATTCCTGTGAATGTAAGAATGTCAGATGAACATGCCTCGTGATTGATTTTCCCCCACAGTACAGGTTTTGGCGGCTTTTTCAAAGGATAATAAGTGATAGTAAGAAAATGTTCTAATGAGTATGATATTTAAAACCCTATAAAAGGGGGGTGCCTGGGTCAAGCCCCATTTTGGGCTCTCTGTTCAGTGGGGGAGTGTGCTTCTCCTTCTTCTTCTTTTTTTTTTAAGATTTTATTTATTTATTTGACAGACAGAGATCACAAGTAGGCAGAGAGGCAGGCAGAGAGAGAGGAGGAAGCAGGCTCCCCGCTGAGCGGAGAGCCCCATGCGGGGCTCGATCCCAGGACACTGTGATCATGACCAGAGCCGAAGGCAGAGGCTCTAACCCACTGAGCCACCCAGGCGCCCCTGCTTCTCCTTCTGCTGCTGCTCTCCATGCTTATGCTCTCTCTCTCCCTCTCTCTGTCAAATAAATAAAGAAATACATACATACACACATATATAAAATCTTAAAAAATAAAATAAAACCCTGTAAAAGGTATCTGCAGGGGTGGGCTGTATAATTTTCTAGAATTTAGAGATACTGGATCCCTGTATTTTAATGGTTTACCATTGTTCTGGGACAAAGGTAACTAACCCTACCGAGGCCTACAAGATGCCCATGTCTGGTCTTGATGCCTGACCCATGCTACCTGTCCATCCTCATCTACTACCTGCCACCTTCGATCCCAAAACACTGGGCTCCTGCCAGGTCCTAGTGGGTGCCATGCTCCCTGAAACCACATGTTACTTCTGCATGGAATGCTAATCCCACCTATAGTTATTTTAACACCTAACTCATCCTTTAGAGCCCAGTTCAATTACCACTCCCTTAGGAACAGTAAGATTCCCATCATTTTATTCATAGCATTTACCATACTTACAGTTTGTAGTTTATATGTAATATTATATAACATACACAAACTTTACATACACTTTATATTACTATTCATAGCACTTACCATAGATGAAAGTTTACATTTACTTTGATGATTAATGTGCGTTTCCTCTAGTAAGCTGTTATTTTATGAGGACAAAACCACATTTTTTTTAAACCATTAACGAACACATAGTATAGGGCCTAGCACATAATATATTCCTGAAAGAATTTATTGGCTGAATAAATAACTAAATGCAGTGGAAAGAGGAGAGAGCAATCTTGAGAAACACTAATTAAACAGATTTTTTAAATGTCATTTTCCAGAATCAATACAGGGAAATAAAGTTCTCTTTTACATACGCTTCCAAATAAATGAACAAAAAAACAGTTCATACTTGCAAATGAAACATAATAGTCATAGCTTTTCTCATCAGACTTAAAATAAAAATGTATTATTTTTGCTATTCTAGGATTATACCTATTTGCCCATACCAATTCTTAAAATTGTTACTTTTTTTTTTAAAGATTTTATTTATTTATTTGACAGTGAAAGACATGGCGAGAGAGGGAACACAAGCAGGGGGGTGGGAGAGAGAGAATCAAGCGTCCCACCGAGCTGGGAGCCTGATGCGGGGCTCGATCCCAGGATGCTGGGATCATGACCCGAACTGAAGGCAGCCGATTAATGACTGAGGCACCCAGGGGCCCTTAAAATTGTTACCTTTTAAAAATTTTCAGAGTACGTAGAATTTATACTATTAGCATCTTCAGAGTTCTTAGGACAGTACATGTGTGTTGGGAAAGAATAGGTCAAAAAACAAATTAATATTTTCACTTGGGTAGAAAAATTACTATTTTGTGCTTGTCACAGAAATCCCTCGTCAGAAAAATTTATAAGTTTTCTTGTCAAATGACCTAATATCACTCTCCTTCTTCTTTTCAACCTTTTCCTTTCTATAAACTGAATTCCAGTCAATTTGATTCACCAAACATAAAAGCCTATTATATTCAAGGCACTATGTAGATGCTAAGATATAAAAAAGTATGAGCAAGACAGAGCCCTGATCCTCAAGGAAATTATCATTTGGTAGAGCTAAACTTCCAATATGGACTCGATTTTATTTGAGAAATTTTGTTTTGAAATTGATTGAGATCTCAGAAGACATCTTCCCAGAGAAGCAATGTCCCTTGTGATTAGATTATCTAGCAGTACTTCAAGTCTCAGATTATATTGCATAATATGGAAAACACCTATTTTAACACTCTACAAATTATACTGATCATCAAAAATCTTACCTCCTCTGTTGTATAATTAGCTCTCAGATCAAAGAGGTTAAAGCTATTCTCTTGATAAAATGTTTTTTCAACATCTCTGTGCACATTCTCCTCATATAGGAAGGTTTGAGGTTGACTAGACTCCATGTAAGCACTTTTAGACAGTGACATTTCCCTGAATTTCAGCGTCTCTCCACTGCTGTGGACTAGAGGTGGGCTTCTAGAAGGTTGTCTGACACACTCGTGAGCAAGCTGGTCTTCATTTGTGGAGGTGCTAGTTCCTACTGGATTTTCTTCCTTAAATGAATCTTTCTTCACATTGGTGTCTTTTGCACAATTACACACGCAACTTTGCCTTTCTGGTTTCTCTGTGTAAGGTAAGCTTTCTGTTGAATTTTGAGATATTATCATTCCATTATTAAGTGCTTCTCTGAGATGAAATTTGCAAATGGGTTCAAATTGCCTGAAGGAGGAAATGTCATCTGGCTGAGTTAGGTTCTGTGAATCATTTCCAATGCTGACATCTCATTAGAAAGAGAAAGATGGAAATAAGAATTAGCTGACTGTAAACTTATATGTTAACAGTTATACTTACATTTATGAAACTGCTGGAGTCTATTTATAGTTACATAAATTTCAGCATTTTTTATTGAGTGGATTTCAGCATGACTCTGTGCTAGCAAACAAAACAACTACTTTTCCATGGGAGCTGGAAGTTCTCATATGACAGCTACAAAAAAGCTTGTGACAGTGATTCTGGTCAAATACCACCGCAACAAATCCTAAGGTATCTTCAAAATTCTTTTGTTATACTGTAATTTTAAAATGTTTTGATTATGTTTCCAAAGAACACACAAGCCCAATAGAATAATAACAAACACATATAAACTTGTTTCATCTCACAACAATCCCATGAACTAGGCATTCTTATCATCCCTGTTGTACAGATAAGGAAACTGAGACATAAGAGATATTAAGTCACTTCCTTGGCTAAGGTCACAGAGTAGATAAGCAGTACAGCTGCAATTCTGGAATACTGTTTCTTTTTATTTTCTTAAATTTATTCATTTATTTTTAAAATTTCTTTTCAGTGTTCTAGAATTCATTGTTTATGCATCACACCCAGTGCTGCATGCAATCCGTGCCCTCCATAATACCTACCACCAGGCTCACCCAACTTCCCACTCCCGCCCCCTTCAAAACCCTCAGTTAGTTCCTCAGAGTCCATAGTCTCTCATGAAGTTAGTTAACATATAGTGTAGTATTAGTTTCAGGGGTGGATTTAGTGATTCATCACTTACACACAATACCCAGTGCTTGTCCCAACAAGTGCTCTCCTTAACACCCATCGCCCATTCAGCCCATCACCCACACCACCCCTCCAGCAACCCTCAGTTTTTTCCCCAACTATAGTCTCTTATGGTTTGCCTCCCTCTCTGTTTTTATCTTATTTTTTCCTTCCCTTCCCTATGTTCATGTTTTGTTTCTTAAATTCCGCATATAAGTGAAATCATATTTTTGTCTTCCTCTAACTTAATTCACTTAGCATAATACCCTCTAGCTCCATCCACATTGTTTCAAGGGGCAAGGTTTCCTTTTTCTTGATGGCACAGTAATATTTGAGGGTATTTACATACCACATCTTCTTTACCTATTTATCTGCCGATGGACACCTAGGCTCTTTCCATAATTTGGCTATTGTGGACATTGCTGCTATGAACATTGGGTACGTGTGCCCCTTTGAATCAGTACTTTTGTATCCTTTGTATAAATACCTAGAAGTGCAATTTCTGGGTTGTAGGGTAGTTTTATTTTTAACTTTTTGAGGAACCTCCATACTATTTTCCAGAGTGGCTGTACCAGCTTGCATTCCCACCAACAGTGTAAGAGGGTTCCCCTTTCTCTGCCTCCTTGCCAACATCTGTTGTTTCCTGTGTTGCTGATTTTAGCCATCTAGAATACTATTTCTAGTGCCTGGCTAGCTCAGTCGGTAGAGCATCAGACTCTTAGAATACTATTTCTAAATGCTACGCTATACTGTTTCTCAATATGATAAATTATCCAGACTTAATAGGTTTTCAAAAATCAGAAGCAAATAAAGTGGAAATAAAGTGTTACAAAATTAATGAAGCCTCCCTTCTATCTCAATTCCCTCCTCTCCCCCTCCCCAGAGATAACTACAGATGAACTTATTTTTCTACTTTCCCATGTACCTTAAATAATATATATCAACTTCCCAGAATTTCTCATTTTGTGACATCTTACTCTCAGTAGTTTTTCACAGCACCAAAAGACCAAAAGAAATACCTAACAGTTCCATTTATTTAGTTACGCTCAATGTAAGTATTATCCCTGACTAGATATTTGAAAATATACATAAACTGAAAGAAAAACACAATGTTTTATATCATTCTTGTACAACTGAACTTACTACTTGGATGAACTATTAGATACCACATGTCTCAAATCTTGGAATCAGATAGGATGACGTCAGCACTTATTTTCTATTCCACGTTGATTTGCATACAATACTTGCTTTTTATCGTAGCAACCTCCAAAAACCCAGCTTTGCAAATGAAATTTTATGGAAAGGGCTGTAGTATGGTTTTACATTGAAAGAATGAACTCAAGCTAGTATTTTGTGGGTCCCACAGATGTCTAATATCACTGTTTCCTAAATATTTCAAAAGATCCTGCAGCACCCTGGGTGAACTGTGGCTATATAGTATTACTTTCTGTGTTTTAAAATTTTCTGTAATTAGAATCAAATTATATTTGTAACCTATTACATACAAAAATATATATGTATATCCATATAAGGGTCTTTATTTCACTTAAAATTTTGCTTTTCAGATTCAGCCATGTAAATACATGTAGATTTCGTTCATTCGACTGAAGGATTACACTTTCTTTCCTTTTTGTTAGACATTCATTTCTAATTTTGCTACGAAAAACAACCCTTCAGTGAAAATCCTTGTACAAGTTTCAATGTATACTAGGAATTTTTGTTTAGATTCTGGGTGGAATTGCTGGATTATAGAAAATATGTATCTTCAACTTCACAAGACATTGCAAAATTACTCTTTAAAGTGGCCGTTCCAATTTATACTTCCACCAATAGCAGAAACGTTTCTTTGCTCTGCTACATCCTTCAAGGCATGTTAAACTGATACGTATGAAATGGAATTCTGTGGTCTTTTTAATAATCTTGCAGGTTTCCTTTTCTGTGATCTGCCTATTAGATACCGTTGTGGCCTGCACTGCATCTCCTCAAAATTATTTTGTTGAAAGCTTACCCCCCAGTACCTCAGGATGTAAATATACTTGGAGGTAGGGCCTTTAAAGAGGTAACTAAGGTTGAATGAAGTTATAAAACTGGGGACCTAATCCATTATGACCAGTGTTCTTAAAGGAACAAAAGACACCAGGGAGGCACAGGGAAAGGCCATGTAAAAACACAAGATGGCAGCTATCTGGGAGGTCTAGGATAAACCAGCTCTTCCGACACCTTGATCTTAGACTTCCTGCCTCTAGAACTATGAGAAAATACATTTCCATTGTTGAAGTCACCTGTGCTGTAGTGATTTGTTTTGGCAGCTCTAGCAAGCTAATATGAATTCTTTGCCTATTTTTCCATTGAGTTATATGTGTCTCTTTCTTTTTGGAGTTTTTGTCTTGAATACTCATCTTGACAATGTACATATTGCAGGTATCTTAGTCTGAGTCTTGTTATTTTATTTTCTTGATTATAATTTGGTCACATAGAAATTTTAAAAAAATTTAATGGGGTCAAATGTGTTGCTTATGGTTTGTACTTTTCAAGCTACTCTCTGAGCCTCAGGTTTCTCATCTGTAAAATAGAGACAAAACAACCCTTATTCAAAAAGAAAAAAAAAAAGCCCTATTTCATAGGATTGCTTGTAGATTAAATGTAATTGTGCATATAAAGCATAATTTAGCACTTGGCTATTACTATTACTGCTGTTATCACAGGACACACATCAAAATCTTAGTGTCTCTGTTTGCATACTGCCAACAGAGATACTCACCACCTAACCAGTCATCTAGTGTGCCATACATTTCTTCACAAAGTGTGAATTTACACTCATCTTCCCTTTCAGCATTCTTTGTTTCATTCTGTATTAATAATAAAACAGGCATTAATATTACTATTTCAAATAAATATCATAAGCCTCTTCTGAACATGGATATGTAACTTGTTAGTATTTTTTGTTGCATGGGTAGAATGTACTTTCTGGTACCCTTCCCTACTGTATATCTGAACTCCTTTTTAGTAAAACCATGCTAATGGGGTTATGATGTTAAATGACATTAAGCAAGTATTTTGCTATTTTAATATCTTGGGTTTTTTGGTAAGTCAAATTGTATTACTATAAATATAGGGATGTTTAATAATGTATATATCTCTTTTCATCCTTTGAAGTTTGCTAAATCTGGTCTAAACAACTTCTAGTATACTTGTTATTCGGGTTTTGATACTGAAGATACAAGGTTCCAGTAATGAATTGAAATATGATTCCAATTGATAGAAATCTAAAAAATTCATGGAGGGCTTATTCTCAAAGTTACCTTAATGTTATCTAGGATAAAGGTTTTGTGAAGTAAATTAATAGTGTAAGAAGATAGTAAAGAAAGTCTTATTTTGAACATTGGAGGAAAGCATTGGTTTAATCATGGATAGTGTATCAAGTATGTGAGACCTGAGGATGCTCTAAAAAAAATTGTATCTCTTACTAAAGTCAGCTGGTTATAAACCTCTATTCAATCATGCTTTTTATAACATTGTTGCACTTTCTGAATATACCTCAAGTACAAGAAAAACTGAGTTATATTTTACAACAATTTGTTTTTTAGACTTCTTGTTAATTTAGGCCATTCCTGTTAATGAGATTTTAAAAATACCAAGAACAATATACTCGAAAAATAAAATAGCATTATTCACATGTATTGATGCTATATTTACACAAATTTCTTGGAACTCCACTACTTGTCAAATTTCAGAGTTCACTTCTAACTCTAGCCTTCTATGATAATACTCTTTTTAACTAAAATATGCCTTTTGTTCTTTTAGTCTGTAAATTCTTTATAAAGAACAAAATACTCAGTGAATTCCAAGAAAGAGAACTTCATTACATAATTTAAGATACTCATTCTTTATAATTTGATACATAATGTTAGACTCTGATTATAATACTATAACCAAATTTTCTTTTAAAATGGAAATATGATAAAATTATCATTATAAAAAAGAATCTTCAACATTATTTTTAAAAAGAAAGTAAAAAAAAAAAAACATTCAAAAAGCCCACTACCCGGTGAGAAGCAATGTGATCATTTTTCTATATCAACAAATATACACTTCATCCTTGAACATGAGCTTGAACTGCCCAAGTCTACTTATAAAGAGATTTTTTTTGAGAAACACAGTATAGTACTGTAAATGTATTTTATCCTAATGATTTTTTTTTAATTAGTTTATTTGACAGAGAGAGAGAGAGAGAGAAAACAAACAGGGGGGAAGGGCAGACTGAGAGGGAGAGAAAGACTTAAGCAGACGCCATGTTCAAGACCTGAGCTGAAACTAGGTCAAATGCTTAACCAACTGTGCCACCCAGGCACCCCAACCCCTCATGATTTTTTTTTTGAAGATTTTATTTATTTATTTGATAGACAGAGATCACAAGTAGGCAGAGAGGCAGACAGAGAGAGAGAGAGAGAGGAGGAAGCAGGCTCCCTGCTGAGCAGAGAGCCTGATGTGGGGCTCGATCCCAGGACCCTGGGATCATGACCTGAGCCGAAGGCAGAGGCTTTAACCCACTGAGCCACCCAGGCGCCCCTCCTCATGATTTCCTTAATCACATTTCTTTCCTCTAGCTTACTTTATTGTAAGAATACAGTATATAAATAAATATAACACACAAAATATGTGATTTATATTGTTAAGGCTTCCAGTCAATAGTAGGCTATCAGTACTTCGGTTTGGGGGGCCTCAAAAGTTACATGAAGCCTTTTGACTGTGAGGGGAGTTGGTACCCCTAAGTCCTGCATTGTTCAGGGGTCAACTCTATTTGTGTTACCATATTTAAGGTTTATACCTTAAATTTAAGGTGTACATCAGTGAAATAACTTAAGTAGGCCCCTACTGATAAAAATTTAGGTTGCTTCTAATGTTCATTTATTTTTTATTTTAAATGATTAGTAATCTCTACACCCAGCCTGGGGCTCGAACTTAACGACCCTGAGATCAAGAGTCACACGCTCTTCTGACTGAGCCAATCAGGCACCCTTAATGTTTATTTATTAAGGGTAATTCTGAATGTATCTCATTTGCATTCTTCCTTGAGGTAGAATTAAAAATAACACATGTTTTCTTATCACTAAATAGCCCTTTAGACAGGTTATGCCAATTTATGGGTTAACCCACATGAAATTGCTAATATTTGTCCATTTTAGAACTATAAAAAGTCAATTACATATGGCACAACTTAATTCACTCCTATTATTTACATAGTTGCTAATAATTGTGAAACATTTAGAACAACATCCAGTTGTTCTAAATACTGATACTAAATACTGATTTGGGACAGTCTAACCTTTTATTTTGTGAGAAAGGGCACTTGGAATTTTCATTAAGATAGAAAATCATTGACATGTAGCGTCTTGTCAATGCCATTAGGAATGACATTTGAATCATTTGCATGCTGATGTGTTAGAACACGCTCTAGACCAGATGTCCGGTCCCTTGGACTCTTTTTCTGCCCCTGTCACTAGTTGTCATGGCCAAGTCCCCTGGTTGCACACTTAAGACTTCACATGGAGGCTTGAAATGATCAGGTTTTTTTTTTTTTTTGAAATGATCAGTTTTAACATTATTTGTACAATTCTCTCTTTCTTTGTACACTAAGGGAACTGGGAAAACCAAACCCTGTATTCCCCTCCTCTGAGCCTCCACTGGAAATTTTTATTGTTCCCCATATATTTTTTTAAGATTTTATTTATTTATTTGACAGACAGAGATCACAAGTAGGCAGAGAGGCAGGCAGAGAGAGAGCAGGAAGCAGGCTCCCCACCGAGCAGAGAGCCTGATGCAGGGCTCGATCCCAGGAGCCTGGGATCATGACCTGAGCCGAAGGCAGAGGCTTTAACCCACTGAGCCACCCAGGTGCCCCCGCCTCACATTTTTGAGGAAATTTTCATATGGAAAAAATGCGAAAGCTGCATACATCTGTACCTCCTAGAACTTATAAGCAATGCACACCTGAGGCAAGTCTGAAGTGGTACTGTTGGTTTCCATATAAAAGGGAGAATGTGAGTGGGTTAAGTCTTGAGAAACACTGCTGAAATTCATGGCCTCTGCTTCTGACATGCTTTCTAATTTTTCATGAGAAACATCCGTTTCAAAATGCACAGGATCTGAAGATGAGGACCAAACTTTTTGATAGTCCTTGTTCCTAATTGTTGAATGATGGAAGACTTCTTTAAAAAAAACAAACATAATTTTAATGTTTATTAGTATATGTAAACAAAGGGTTCCACCCCCCCATCCCTCCTTGCATTAAGGAAGCAGCAACACTCCTTGTCCTTAATTTTTAAAATGTCCATTGTCAGCTTATTAGAAAAATAAAAATTTTGTTTGAGTATACCATGGTCACTTCGTGTAATAGTAAATACTGATTTGAACAAAAACACATCAATACACATGTGGCTACTATCCAATAATTTCCGAAAAGACCTAGGAGGATGAAGGGACCCCTCAGTTACTTAAAACATATTTTCAAAATATTATCAGAGGACTATCGGGTTCCATTATACTACTTACCTGATACTACTATGTCATTATCAAATCAAATCCAACATTGTAAATCAGTTTTCTCCCACTTTCCCATCCGACACTATTCTCTCAGGCCCGTGGATTGGAGAACTTGGGAGACACCTTTGGTATCCTTCTACCTCATCATCTGCGCTATCCAGTTACCAAGTCGTATCCATCTCTCCTTCAACAATGTTTTTTTCTAACCCATGCTTTCTTTCCACCTCTTACATCATCACTTCCAATTACACTTTTAGAACTTTGTTCATATGGCACTGTCAGCTGACATTTTAAGTTAAGCTTTCCACTTTCATTCTGTCCTTACCAGATTTATGCCACACTTTAAAAATATTTATTCAGATATTTGGATAGATATTCCAGGACAGTCTAACGCTGTTTTAAGATGGGTGTTAAAAAAAAGTCATTGGGAGTTACCGCCCCAAATTCTAGTTTTGTTTTAAATTTTTTTCAGTCGTATCACAAACTTTTAAAGTCACTTATCTTATTCCCCTCAAAACAATGCACCAAACTCCTTAAGTCTAAAAAGCGTGCTCACTTCCAGGGTCCATAGCTTCTGGATCCGCACTAACGGTTTCGCTCTTCCTCCCGCCGCGTACTGTTTTGCGCGAGGAAGACCAACACTTTAAGGTTTCGCCCACCGAAGCTTTTAAAAACTAGCGGAAGACAGGCAGGCGGGCTGGAACGACCCTGTGTGACGTCAGTCCGCTGCGCCAGCCAATCTCCGCGGGGAACTCAGCCGCCCGGGCTCCCACGCCCTTGTCCCCCGCTCCTCGCCCTCCAGCGCGAGGCTGTGGAGGGCGGGACTTCCGGCAGGGCTGAGACATCCGGTCGAGCGGGAGTTTCCGGTCGGGGAGATCCTGCTTCCTCCTGTAGCAAGTGCATATTTTTTTAGCACGTGGCGCTCGCTTTTAGCTTCGGAGCTTCTGAGTGGTTTGCTAGGCGGTTATCTGCCGAAAGGCGGTTTGATGGGCTGCGGGTAGGACTGTCCCTGTGGGGTTCCTGTTCCAGCTCTGGGCGGACGGCCTCCCCGGGCGTCGAGGCTTTGCGCGCTTCCGTCATGGACTACCGGCGGCTGCTGATGAGTCGGGTGGTCCCGGGGCAGTTCGACGACGCGGATGCCTCCGACAGGTGGGCGCGGGTTGGACACTGACTCCCCTGGGATTCTGCTGTCTTCTCCGCCAACCGCCCCCTTGGGCTTTTGAGGGAGACCGGTAGTTGTTCCGCTTCTTTCTCCATCCCAGCCGGGTCTTTTATAACCTGCTTTGCGGCAGAGTTAGCATCGCGGGCACGCACAGTTGGGATAGCGGTTAGGAAACACAGATTTTTTGCTCTTTAACTGTATTCAGCGTTGAGAAATATTTGAGCGCCTACTGTGTGCCGGATTCTGTCTTCGGCGCTGGAGATGGTGATGAACAAGACAAAGTCCCTGCTGTCAATGAATTTTACCTTGTACTTGGGAGGGACTGACAGTTGAGTACCTAGAGATATTTTTTAAAAAAGATAGACACTATGTAAATAATTAAAATCAGCTGGTATACTAACGACAATGTCAGGAGAGAGTTAAGTCAAGATTTGAACGACGAAAAGGAACTAATCTCAAGAAGAGCAGAAGGAACAGACGTTCGCAAAAGACAACAGTGCAGAGCTTTAACGTTGGTATCGCTCTCGGTTGTGAAGGGAAGACTTAGAGGCCATTGGCTAGGTACGATGTAGAAGTGAGAAGGGGCCAGATGGTGTAGAGCTTTGTAAATGTTGAGGAGTTGGGATATTTAAGTATTAATAGAAAGCCATAGGAGAGATTTTAGCAGGGGAATGACATAATATGACTTAAGATTTAAAGGAATTGCTCTGTTATGCAGAGGGTGGTTTTGGAGGGCTTGGGTGGAAGCAGTTCAAAATTAATACAGTAGGGGTGCCTGGGTGACTCAGTTAGTTAAGCATCTGACTCTTGATTTCAGCTCAGGTCATGATCTGAGGGTTATGAGATGAGTCCCTCATCAGGCTCCACACTGGGCATGGAGCCTGCTTAAGAGTCTCTCCCTCTCCCTCTGCAACCCCCCACCCCAACTCATGTACGCTCTCTCTCAAAAAAGAAAAAAAAAATTGACAAAAGTAATTCAGTTCAGACTTGATGGGAGCTAGATATAGGGTAACAGGATTATGTTTTAGGCAGAAGTGATAAGATTCGGTGTATTGAATGTGGGCTACCCTGTGAGGCAAAAGGAATTAAGGATAACTCCTACATGAAACATTGAGAGTTCCTTTGGAATTCCAAGAATACCGTTTTTACTTTGTGTTTACAGTAAGGATTCTTTACATACAGATTTTATTAATCAGTTGGGGAATTTTTTCAGTAAATATATGTTGATCATTTTCTGTGTGTCAGATCTAACATTCGTGGGTAGGGATGCATTGATAAACACCACCCTGATTGACACTGGGCTTGCAGTAGGTAGGAGGGGAAACATTAAGGGATTAGACAATTGATATTTGTATTAGAATTGGGTAATTAGTACAGAGGAAAAACGGATGAGGAATAAGGAAGACTTCCAGGAGCAAATGATCATTACTGGGAGGTTACATTGGATTTAGCCAGAAAAATAAGATTTTATTTCAAATTAATTGCAGATTTTTACTTCCAGATAAGCACGTATAAGGCTTTAGGGAAGAAGTAGGAAGGTGAAACCCAGCCCAGTGTTGCTGGTGAGTAGTTGACGGTAATGAGTGTGCACTGGTTTACCAACCGTTACTGGATATTGTGAGGATAAACCAGTGGATTTTAAACATCCTACGAGGCACAAAATGACCTTCCAGAATAAAAAAATTGTCCAGCCAAGGTTGAGAAGTTGTGGTACAAATGAAGTATAACTTAGACATGCCACTCTAGGTTACTGGCAATTAAAGGATCAAATTAAGGATTGTATTTACAGAATCATAGTAACTATAAATAGCAGGTGTGTAATGATTATTTCTTCCCAGCCATATTTATGGAGATTTGGAGCCCTGTAAGCTGTGACTAATTAATAATCAGGATTGATCATCTGAATTTACTAAACTGTCTTCTGACTGTTTTTTAAGCTAGTAGTTCACATTATCAGCTGTTCTCTGTGGTTCTTTGTTCTCTACATGAGAGGTCAAAACTGGTAGTTCCTCTATTGACTATGACCTGCGGACACATATTTTGTTTGGTATGCAATGTTTTGTTAAAATTAAATGTACCCGTTAAGTAGGATTTGCCGCAAAAATCCACACTTCCGGCTTCTCTTGAATAACTAAGAAGATACGGTAGCACTCAGTCTGAATTTTCCCACGGCAAGAAAACACCCCATTGGTTGTGCTCCCTTTTTACGCTGGACCTGTTCTCTGGTTTCGAGACTCACCACTCCTCATGCTGAATTACACGCACACTCCCACTCTCATTTGTGGTGCTAGTGTTGTTCATTCCTTCCCTTCACAAACAGGGTGATTTAAAGTTCTTTGTGTGACACCGATCTTGACGCAGCTCCTTTTGTTGGAGTGGCGCTAAGCTCAAGGTAAGGCTGCTTTAGACTTATTCTCAGATTTTGTCAAAAAGCCTTTTCCCCCCCTCTTAAGGCATATCTGCGAATGGTTTTCCTGGAGGTGGGTCTGATGTATTGGTCAGAGTCCATTTGTTCAGCAGAGAAAGTGACAGCGTAAATCCTAGCTTCATTAAGGCACAAGTGGGTTTCATACCAGATGTATTTCTTCTTAGGAGGACCAGGAGAAGAAGCAAACAATGGGAATGGCACCGTGAAAAAGAACTTGGTGTTGAGTTTATGGGGAAGTACTTTGGAAGGAAAACTTTGCGATTTATTCGTATGGATTTAGTCTGTTGTATCACAAAATACATGTGTAAATCCAATTAGAGGTATGTGTAAAACATGCTGAAACATTGTTATTTCTAGTGAAAGCATTGACCTGAAGACCAGCAGAGAACAAGATGGTGTTCTGTTTGAAGACCTGCAGAATGTGTCTGAGAAGACGGGGGAAGGTGAGATGGAGGAGGAGGAGGAGGAGGAGGAGGAAGAGTCCAATGACGATGACGACTGGGACTGGGATGATGGAGTTGGGAAGCTCACCAAGAGTTGCATCTCAAATGCAAGGAGTAACCCCCAGGTATTTTATACATGATTTTATACATCTGTTACTGCTCACGTTGTCTTTTTTTCAAAGAACTTTTTGTCATTCTGGGATTGACTAACTGAAAGATTTCCATCAGGTTATGTTGCCTTGTAGCCCCAGGTTTTAACCATTTTCATTCTTCATCCTTTTCGTATTTCTGGTAATTTCCTGGATGTAGATTCCTTTCATAATGAGTACATTTAAAAAGTCATTTAAATTATGATGACGAGCTTTAAAATGTGCACAGGAAAGGATGTAAACAGGCAGTTTACTACAAATGGTTAGGAAGCATGGAGAAAAAAGTTCAACTTGCTTAATAATTAGAGAAGTGCAGATTAAATCTGTAGAGATGCCATTTTTTTCCCCATGAAACTGACCAAGACCCAAAATTATAATTGCTGATTGAGGAAATAAGCAGTTATTTGGAGGATAAACTGGTATGTGAGAAAAAGTATTTAAAACATAAAATAAGTGCTTTGACTCAGCAGTTCTTCTAGGATTGTGCCAAAAATAATGTTAAAAGAATGATCCTCCGGTATTGCTTATAGAGAAACATTGGAAGTAAACTTGATTAATTACTGAGGGACTGATTTCCCTCATAGGATCCCTGATGGGATGTTATGCGACTTTAAGATACATTGCAGTGGAAAGCTATATTAATGACATATGTTTATGATCTACCATCTCTGCTGTGTACAAAATGTGAGTTACCAAACTACATAAAATCTTCATCTCAACTGGAAGTACTTAATGTTTTAGGAGTTTGCAGAGTCCTAGGATTAGCATGGTACATCTTCCTGGAACATACCAGTTTCTGAAAGAGATGGAGGGGGAAAAAGCCAAAAATGTTTCTTTGACTGTTGAGACTATTTTGTGGACTAGAATGCTAGCAATTAAAAATAACCAGATGAATTTCACACTTGTGGTCTTGTTTTGGTAACTCCTCCATTAATTTGTTGGTGAGACACTGAGCTATTTCAACTTTGAAATAGTGTAACCCCTTTGAACAAAGCTAGTAATACAAGTAATTATACGTCTTTAAATGTTAACTGTTGTCCTGGGTGTTGGGAATTATAGGTGATTAAAATTTTACCTTTGATTTCTACTGTGAACCTGTATTTAGAAATGTTTTAAAAATTGTATTTAGTAGAAAACTTTAAAGAGGTCTGTGCAAACAAGAAACAAGTCAGCCTCACACTTCCAAGTTGAGATAACGGGATTAAGTCAGCAATTACTATGGGCGCTTTTTATCTGTACTATATTCTCTTATTTATGGGTTTTTTCTTCTCTTTTTGCTATTACTTAAGTTTGTGCATAGTGCCAGTCTAAGTTATTAAGTCTCATACTTAATCTTTCCCTTTCTTGAGATAGTAGACCCAAACGGAGATTCTTAGAACTAGTTGCATGTTGGTCTAAGCTCTTCGTTATACACTTTGGGTATAAATGAACATTTTCAAATTTTGAATCTATAAAGCAAACAAAAAAATGCGTTTAATTTTAATTTGTTATTTATAATAATGAGGAATACATTGTAGAGAGGTTAAAAAGAGGCAGATGGTACAGACTTCTTTAGCCACTAATTTTGTCCTATTTCAGATGTCTTTAAAAAATTTCTTGCACAAATGTGATTGATTTTTAACCTTTTATTGGGGTACTCATTCAAGTACTGATGCTTTAATAGTTAACTGTGAGCTAAGGAAAAAGGGATGTGATAAAGAACCTGAGGTCTTTATTTAAAACTCGTGCCTTCAATTCTGAAACTCGTTTCTTCTAGCCAAATCGACAGACTTCCAATTGCAATTCAGCCAAAATGTATACTCCAGCAGACAAGGTCTTACGGAAATTTGAGAATAAAATTAATCTAGGTGAGTTCGTAAAATATATTTGGGCTCTGAGGAAGTTCTTCAGAAACCATAGTGTTATTAAAATGTTATTAAATCAAGAAATGAGAGTATTCAGTGTTGCTGACGGACTAATAACGTTTACAGAAGATAAAAACTCAGTGACTTAAAAGCCTGGCTTCAGGAAGAGACTTTAGCTTAGACTTTTTTAGTTCTGTTTTTTTCTCTGCTGTAGAATTATAAAGTTACAGGTGCCTGTTCAAGTTTTTGTCTGTTTTGTATTAGATTTTATGGTAAGATTATCTAATAGTAGGATATTGAAAATATACTGACTCTGGAATGTGTAAGTTGGGATGCTGACTCCACACAGTTGAAAATCCATGTATAACTTTTGACTCTCCCGAAAACTATACTACTAACAGCCCACTGGTGATGGGAAGCCTCACTGATAACACAAACAGTGGATAGACGCATAGTTTGTATGTTATATGTGTTATATACTTCATTCTTACAATAAAGGAAACTAGAGAAAAGAAAATGTTAAGTCATAAGGAAGAAGAAATACATGTGCGGTCCTATGCTGTGAAAATTCTGCACGTGAGTGGGCCTGGGCAATTGAAACGCATGTTGTTCAAGAGTCCGCTGTGCTAGAATACAGAACCTAAGTACATTTGGCTTTACTAGACACTCAGTGTGTAGGTGTCAGTCATTTAGTGAGCTGTCGAATGCTGATTTGAACCACCAGCTCTTGAAAAATGCAGGGTCATCTTTGTCTTGCAGACATTGACTCATTATAAACCTAGCACGTCTCTCATAGCCCATCATTGAGCTATAATTTAAAATGAAACTTGAAGTTTTTAGAATTAGACTTGGAATTCAAGCAGTTATGTTGTCTGTATTAGTCATGTAAAGTATGAACAAGTGTCTGAAATTCAGCATATGCAGGTGAAGTATTTAGGGGGGGATGCCTAGGTCCGGGTTTCTGTGGCTCAGAAATCATAGCTGTGGTGATGACAGTGACAACACTTGTCACTACGGAGACACAGCGTTGTGCTCATCTCTAAAAACATGAACATTTTTTTAGTATTCAAAGAAACTCTCTATACAACAAAACATTTAGAAAATAAGGAGGAGGGTGGAAGTATTCTATTCAGACTGTTGTCTTTTTGTCTTAAATGTTGTTTACATTGTGTGTTTTTTAATTTTCAGATAAGCTAAATGTTACTGATTCTGTCATAAATAAAGTCACCGAAAAGTCTAGACAAAAGGAAGCAGATATGTAAGTAATATTTTAACTATAAATCATGGCTGATGGGGACTAATTTGAGACAAAGTAGCGTCTTGGTCATAAATCTTTTGGAAAGGATATTTCTTTGTATACTTAAACCAGTTTTTCCTTTATTTTTTTTTTTTAGCTTAAGTGAGGATATCCTTTCCTTTATAAGTTGAAAATATTGAGTCTTAAGATATGTATGGTCAAACTATAATTTTGTGAAATTCACAGATGTTCTCTCAGGAGGGTAATGGTTTTAAACTAAAATATAGATTCTAGTTTAAAGTAAAACGTTAGAGCATAAAAAATTCCCTTTTCAGAATTTATTAAAATTTCTTCCTTTCCATGAAATATTTTTAAAAATTCAAGGGAAGATTTAAAACTGAATAGTGATATAACTAAGAACAGCTTTTATTTATTCTTCTCAAAATCAGTTGATTAAGATCTGGCTAACTTCTACGTCATAGTAACTCTTAAGGCATTAACTATATATTGTAGAAAGTGATATTAAGGTTACAACTAGTAATGTTGGAACCAAACTTAAGGAGCACTTGGGTGGCTCAGTTAGTTAAGTGTCTGACTCTTAATTTTGGCACAGGTTGTGATGTCAGGGTCTTAAAATCGAGCCCTTCGTTGGGCTCAGTGGGAGTCTGGTTGCGGAGTCTCTCTCTCTCCCTCAGCCCCTCCCCCTGCTAGGCTGTGCATGTACATGTGCTCTCTCCCTCTAAAATAAATCTTTAAAAAAAAAAGAACTGAACTTAAAAATCAGTTTTCTTCTGGTTTATTGCTATAACTAAGAGATAATCAGCTTTTCTTTTCTTTTTGTAAAAATTTATTTTGAGGGGGAGAGAGTACGTGCGCACCCACTGGAGTGGAGGGAGGGGGAGAGAGAAAATCTCAAGCAGACTCCCAGCTGAATGCAGAGGGTGGGAGGGTGGGGTTGGGGGGAGCTCGATCTCACAACCCTGAAATCATGACCTGAGCTGAAACCAGGAGTCCGACACTCAACTGACTAAGCCACTGAAGCGCCCCAAGATACAGACTTTTTGAGAACTGCCATAATCACTTGTTATTTCATGGAAGTGCTTGTTTGGATCTTTGTGTTTGAATCTTTATGAGTTTAGATGAGTGCTAATAGAGTCACTAAGTGTATGAGCTGAAACCAACCAGAGTTTGCATTTTAATGTAGAACCCAGGAAATACCTTAAGATGATAAAACCTTGTGTCTTTGTAGAAAGGAACTCTAAAGAGAAGGCAGTATCAATGACTTTAATCTGTATTAATAGAATCATTAAAGATTTAAGGGCAATTATTAATAGACTTGGTGTTTTCTCTTTTGCAGTGTAGTTCACTTTATCCCAGCTGTTCTTTTTATCTAATCCTTCCGGATTTATGGACAGAAATATGAATGAAATAGGCAGATGTGTTCCTTTTGCTCTAGGGAACTGAATTGATGATTAAGGGGACACGAAGGAATCATTACTGAGCAATGAAACTACAATGAGATTATGAAATCTGTTATTAAAGAAACTACCCATATAGGAATTTCAAGGAATGATACATTTGGAAACTTTATTTTGGCTTCTAAATTTTGAATGTCACATATACTTTTTTGGTTTTGCTTAGGTATCGCATCAAAGATAAGGCGGACAGAGCAACTGTGGAACAGGTAAAATTTCAGTGTGCTGCAGGCTCTCTATTTTATTTTATTTATTTCATTTCATTTCATTCTATTCTATTCTATTTTATTCTATTTTATTTTATTTTATTTTATGATTGTATTTATTTGAGAAAGAGACAGAGCATGAGCTGGGCAGAGGCAGAGGGAGAAGCAGATTCCCATGCTGAGCAGGGAGCCCAATGTGGGGCTCCATCCTAGGACCCTGAGATCACCACCTGAGCAGAAGCGGATGCTTAACCGTCTGAGCCACCCAAATGCCCTGCAAGCTCTCATTTTAAATGAGCATTACTTTTCTCTTGGGTTATAGTTTGCATTCATTCTTCTTGCTTAATGCTAATGTTATCTAAAACTACTCCTTTCTGTAGTTTTGAGTTTAGAAATCTACATTTTGCTGTATTTATAATAGGACTGTTAACAGATAAATTAGAGTCATGCCCCGCTTTGGCCATCATGCAGTGCTTCCCTCTTCCGTGGGGAAGCAGAATTCATTGTAAGATCGGAATCTTTTGTCTTGTCTTAAGGTCAGCAGGGATTTTTCTGAGCTTTTGCGAAGGATAGGTATCTGCCACAAAGTGGGGGTATGTGTGTGTGTGTAATTTTCAATTAGAAGTTCATTACTTGGTTTAGAAATTACACTTGTTTTTATTCTTTCTACTCAAGAGTGGAGAAGAATTTTCTTTATTTTCCCATATGTAGAGAGTTGTGATTGGATGTTAGCATTTGCCTAGATTTTTGATGTGAAAAGGTGATAGAAAGGGTCAGAACATTGCTGCAGCCACCTCAAGATTGATTGTGCTGACTTCAAAGGGGACCCTTTTCCTGATTTACTCATCTGTAGCAGAGGTGTGCAGACTCCTTCTTTAAAGGGTTAAATAAATACTTTAAGCATTATGGCTCACAATTTTTTTTTTTCTTAAACAACTATTTTAAAATGTAAGGACCATTCCTAGCTTCAGGCTATAGAAAAACAGGCTGTGGCCTGGATTTGACTCATGGACAGTAAGGTGCTGACCCCTGATTTTTTTTTTTTTTTAATTTTTAAAAAATTTAAAAATTTTTTTGTAAACATATAATGAATTTTTATCCCCAGGGGTACAGGTCTGTGAGTCGCCAGGTTTACACACTTCACAGCACTCACTGTAGCACATACCCTCCCCAATGTCCATAACCCCACCCCCCTTTCCCGACCCCCCTCCCCCCAGCAACCCTCAGTTTGTTTTGTGAGATTAAGAGTCACTTATGGTTTGTCTCCCTCCCAATCCCATTGCTGACCCCTGATTTAAAGTTGCATGTCTGGGACAGTGGCCACTGAGCACTTGAGAGGTAGCTAGTCTGAATTGAGACGTGCCGTCAGTGTCAACACACTGGACTGTGAAGGCTTGGTATAAAAAAATGCAGTGTTAAATCTCTCGCTGGTAACTTCTTATATCAATTGCATGTTGAAATTGATAGTATTTTAGATATATTGGATTAAATAAAATAAAACAAATTTTACCTGCTATTTTTTACTCCTTATGATGTTACTAGAAAATGTAAACCTAGTTAATGTGACTTGTATTACATTCTCTTACATCATGTCAGTCTACGGTCAATTGTGCTTCCTTTTGACCTGGTAGACTTTAATTTCTGTGACTGAACTTGTTGGTTCATCTCTTGTCTCTCTGGCCTTTGTGTCGCATTTTATTTACTAAAATTTGGAGTGAATAAAAATACCACAGTTGATACTCATTGAGTCAGCCAGGATGGCCTAGTACTTAAGCTCTTCAGATTATTAATGGTCAGCTGTTTTAAGTGAGAGATATTTGGTACTGTCTCTCTGAACTTTTTTTTTTTTTTCCCAATTTTTTAGGTGTTGGATCCTAGAACACGAATGATATTATTCAAGATGTTGACTAGAGGAATCATATCCGAGATAAATGGCTGCATAAGCACAGGAAAAGAAGTGAGCTTTTCTTTGGATGCCTGAATGTTTTCATGTTAGTTTTCTTACTTCAGATACCAAAGGGAACTAAGGCACTTGGTACATAAATGGTACATAAATGGTGCCTTTAAAAAGTAAAGGAAAGGAAAAAAAAACCACACAAGTCAGAATAGCTTACTCTTTCCAAAAACAGCTTTATTAATATTTATGGGTGGGGAGGAAGTTGGGCACACAACTGTGCCTTTTCACCTCCGTCACAGTACCGGATCACTGGGTCCAGGGGTGCCCAGGGTCGGTGCAGGTGGTCTGATTCCTGCCGGCCTGGTCCTTATTGCATAGTTACTAATGGGGGCAGGGGCTTAGTCTGGTTTCTGTGAGTCAACCAATCTCTTTCCCGTTTTTCCTTTGCACATGGATATGGAGAAAGACAGACATGGCATTTTTAAATTAGCAACTCATTCTATGGGAAGCACTTCTCAGTAAAAATTTATAAATCAGATGTAAGAGTGTCTTAAAATATTTTTCACCTACTTGAGATACAAAAATGTTTGGAATGGCTTCTTGTATATGATTGGATCTTACTATATACGTAAATTTGAGCCCTACTTATTGTACCGTTTGGTGATGATGTTTTGGAAGATGGTGTTTCTCATACATGTTACTTCAGTTTGCTTGACTTTTTTTCTAACTTTTGAGAATAGACTCAAATAGAGTGAAAAATTGAAATACCATGTGTAGCTATTTAACACAAATGTCCTTTTGTTTTTGATGCAAAATAGGCGAATGTGTACCATGCTAGCACAGCAAATGGAGAGAGCAGAGCAATCAAAATTTACAAAACTTCCATTTTGGTGTTCAAAGATCGGGATAAGTATGTAAGTGGGGAATTCAGGTAAGCTCCGATTCTTTTTCCAGTTGGCCTAATTTCTCTATCCTAAAATACAGACTGGAATAAAGGAATGATTGGAATAACAAATATTTTTCTCGTTCAAGATTTCGTCATGGCTATTGTAAAGGAAACCCCAGGAAAATGGTGAAAACCTGGGCAGAAAAAGAAATGAGGAACTTAATCAGGTGAGTGTCTGGGGTGTGTGGCTGTGCTGTGGCGGCCATACTGGCCCTCGCTCCTTCCTGCTGGCAAATCCCAGGGTGGCTCTGTCCAAAAGTGGGTACTTGGAGTGCTGTTTGTTTCTGTTAGATCCAGCACATTCCTGGACAAATAAGAACTACCTTGTCTTCTCTGTTTTGGGAACCCATTACTTTCCCACTCTGTTTTGGGAAAAATTTACATTCATTTAGCAAGGCTGGGTCATTCCAAGCACCTGGAAGCCATGTGAAAGCATTTAAAATTTATACTGAGGACGGTAGGGGGCTGTTGCAAGATTTTAAATAGGGAAATGATTCAGTCGGGTTTTGAGACTGATCTGTCATTTTTTATAGGCATTGGAGTTTTAGACAATTTTGTTAGGGCCTAAACTCTATCATGGTTTTCTTTTTCTGATTTCAGTCCAGTCTTGGACATATTTATCCATTCTTTGTGCTGACACTTTTATATCAGGTGAGGGCAACTTATCGAGCTGAGACCAAGTTTTCTCAAAAAATTGAAGTTTTGGGGTGCCTGGGTGGCTCAGTTGTTTGTGTCTGCCTTTGGCTCAGGTCGTGATCCCAGCATCCTGGGATAGAGCCCCACATTGGTCTCCCTGCTCAGCAGGAAGCCTGCTTCTCCCTCACCAGCAACCCTGTGCTTGTGTCCTTCTCTCGCTGTATCTCTCTGTCATAAATAAATAAAATCTTAAAAAATCTTTTTTGAAGTTTTTTTCCCCTCTTTCGAATACCTTTTTGGCATTTTATCTGCAGTGCATTAATGACATACATTGGATATTTTAGTATTAAATACTTGTTTTGAAAGTACTTTTGAAATCTTCCTGTATTCAGCTAGCTATTATGTATGAGTCCAACTGTTTTGTTTTGTTTTGTAAGTAAACTACACCCAGCATGGGTGGAGCTCTAACTCACTACCCCAGGATCAAGAGTCTCATGCTCACTCTTACCATCTGAGCCAGCCAGGTGCCCTGAGTCCAACTGTTTTTTTTTTTAATCATCGTTGAGGCTAATCAACTCAGAAGACAGATCTGCTGTAGTTTACCAATTCCAAGGCGCACAATTCACAGTTTCATGTCTCTGGAATTGGGCTGAGCCTTAGAGGCAGTGAGATGTAGGTTAATTGCCAGTGTTTTGTCATTCTTGGTTGTGCATCATGGTGCTACCCAAAATCTCTGGGGTCTTCAAGTTTCTGAAATGCAGTAACACCATTGAGACATGTTGATGCTGTTTCCTAACAGCCATATTAATCTTGTGTTCTGTAGCTGTTGTCATTTGTTTTGGATACTGGGTCACCTTTTCCCTTGTCCTTTTGTCTTTGAATACCACAGGCTAAACACAGCGCAGATCCCATGCCCAGAACCTATCATGCTGAGAAGTCATGTTCTTGTCATGGGCTTCATTGGTAAAGATGACATGTGAGTATGTAGAAGGCTAAGAATTACATGGTAGGAGGTGTATTTTTTTTTTTTAAAGATTTTATCAGAGGTGTATTTTTAAGAAATTTTTTTTCAGAAGTATATTTTTAAGTGCTTTGAATTATCCAATATAGGACTCTTTCCCATTTAAATAGCTCCTTTCATCTTGGAGTTTTTTTTGTGAATCTTTCCCACTGTACTTGTGCATAGACTTACTCATTTATTCTACCTTTTTAAGTCTCAGAATGCTTCAGAATAACAAAGTTCACCCAGTTTTGAGGAATGTTTTACAGTAAGCTGGGAGAACACCTGTTTCTAGACAGCTTTTCCGATTGGTACATCTGTAGTGATATAGTTGTTCAGTGATAAGTTGTTGAAAAGAAATCCATGTGGCCATGTGTGGTACAAAGCAAGAAAACTCATTTTGGGGCATTTTATCTTAGTTTGTTTTATTTGTATTCAAGGCCAGCGCCACTGTTGAAAAACGTCCAGTTATCAGAATCCAAGGCTCGGGAGTTATATCTACAGCTCATCCAGTATATGAGAAGAATGTATCAAGATGCCAGACTTGTCCACGCAGATCTCAGTGAATTTAACATGCTGTGAGTGTGTTTTGATCCTTAGGAACCTCTTGTACAGCACTTCATGGCCTTCAAGAAAATAAAATTCAAAGCAAGGAGTCCTTTTTATTTTATTTTTAGATTTATTTATTTGAGAGAGAAACAGAGACAGGAAGAACACGAACAGGGAGGAGAGGGAGAAGCAGACACCCACCTGAGCAGGGAGACCAACCCTGCCCTCCATCCCAGGACCCTGGGATCATGACTTGAGCCAAAGGCAGATGCTTAATGACTGAGCCACCCAGGCGCCCCCAAGAAGTCATTTTTAAATTCTAGAGTTTTCAAGTTGGCTTTCACATGGTCATAGTGTAGGATGTGTTCTGTGCCCTACAGTGGCCTTAGTCACAGAACTGACCATCTGATCCTTAACAGATTTACAGGACTTTGGAAATTGTTTCAGTTTTCATCTCCTGCTAGTCAGAGTGGCCTCTTACCCTTACCCACCTTGTTCGTTCTATTGGCTATTTCCTTTGCTCTTAAGATAGAATTTTTTTGAACAAAAAAGTACAGGAAAGTAGTCGATCCCAAGTCCCTGTGTGTCTGGCCCACAGGTACCACAGTGGAGGTGTGTACATCATTGATGTTTCTCAGTCCGTAGAGCATGACCACCCACACGCCTTGGAGTTCTTAAGAAAGGACTGTGCCAATGTCAACGGTGAGTGGAAATTGGAGTTTCCTACCAAGTTGTTTGTGTCTGTTGGTTCTGCTGATACCAAATCATGGCACTAAATCATTTCGTGTAGTGGAACGTCTACCTTTGCTGGGAGATGGTATATCTTTATTCTTCTCTTTGTTTCTCCATAAAGTAGTTGGAATAATAATCTTTCCCCTCCTAAGGCTGTACTGTATTTTCCTTCCAACAGATTTCTTTTTGAAGCACAGTGTTGCTGTAATGACTGTGCGGGAACTCTTTGAATTTGTCACAGATCCATCCATCACACATGAGAACATGGACGCTTACCTCTCAAAGGTGAGATGGGACGAGAAAAGGAAAGAACAGAAAATAGTAATTTGCGCTCACATGGCACTTCTCAGGGACTCCGACTGCTCAGTGTATGTTCATTTCAACAGCTTCTTGAGATCTTCTTTTGATTTCACACATAGGGAATGAGAAGTACAGTAAAGAGCCAATGGGAAAGCCAGGTTTCTTGACTTGAAGCATTGGACAAGGTCACATAGACCACCAAAGTTCGTGAACCTTTAGTGAGAAACTTGTTAGGCTTCTGGTCTTTCCCTTGTTTCTCAGAGGCCTTTTTGAATCCTAGAACTTTTGCAAGTGTGGCGAAATGCACATAGTATAAAACATACCATTGTAACCACGTGTAAGTGTATGGTCCAGTGGCATCATGTACATTCACACTTTTGTGCAACCGTCACCACTGTCCATCATGAGAACTTTTTCATCTTATAAAATACAAACTCTGTACCCAGTCACCGTTAACTCCCCATTTCTCCCTGCCCCCAGCCCCTTCTGCTTTCTGTCTCTGAGGTTGTCTACTCTAAGTAACTCCCGTAAGTGGAATCATGCTGTTTTGTTTCCTTTTTCTGGTTCCTTGTTTCCCTTAGCATAGTGTCCTCAAGATTCATTCATGGTGAACAGCCACTATCTGTGTACCCATCCGTCTGAGTGGACACTGGGGGGGCTTCTGAAACCCCTTGTGTGTTGCAAATAATGCAGCTGTGAACATGGGTGCACCAGTCTCTCTTCAAGACCCTGCTTTCGGTTCCTTTGGGCAATACCCAAAAGTGCAGATGCTGCATTAGCTGGTAATTCTGTTCTACTTTTTTTGAGAAACTGCCATTCTGTCTTCCTTAGCAGTGAAACCATTTTACATTCCAGCCCAACACTGTGCAGATGGTTCCAATTTCTCCACATACATCCTCACCGTGTTCTGGTTTTGTTTTTGTGTTGCTTTTTTTTTTTTTTTTTTTTTTTAATTTTTTTTTTGACAGAGAGAGAGATCACAAGTAGGCAGCAGAGAGGCAGGCAGAGAGAGAGGGGGAAGCAGCTCCCCACTGAGCAGAGAGCCCGATGCAGGGCTCGATCCCAGGACCCTGAGACCATGACCTGAGCTGAAAGCAGAGGCTTAACCCGCTGAGCCACTCAGGTGCCCTGTGTTGGTCTTTTCTCGGAGTAGCTGTCCTCACGGGTGTGAGGTGTGGAGTATCATAGCTTTGATTTGCATTTCCTTGATGATTGACGTTCAGCATCTTTTCACCTGCTTGTTGGCCACATTAGAGCTCTATTCACAGAACTTTCTCAAGGAGAAATCAGGCAGAAATCATTGTTTCCACAGGTGTAAATCCCAGATCTTGTGAGCCTATAGTAGAAGTGGTCAAACTGCCTCATTTGTCATTAAGTTCTCTTTTTTTCTCTTTTTTTTTTTTCTGTTTTTTAAGTAGGCTCCCCACTGCAGGGGCTCGAACTCACAACCCTGATATGAAGACATGAGCTGAGATCAAGAGTCAGACATTTAACAGACTGAGCCACCCGGCACTCTTGTTATTAAGTTCTTTTTAATGTTGTCAGCCTCTGCTAGACCGCGAGCCCATAAGGGGCAGCAGGCTGATTCCTGTATTACCCAGTATCAAATCTATACCTCACACTCACTAAGCAGTTATGTATGTTAATTGAATAAATACATACCGTTTTTATTCCTAAATTTTTTAGCACTAATTTTAGTGTCTGAATGAAAAAAACCAAAAACCCTAGTATAATTCTTTCCTTTTTTTCTATGTATTCCAAGGAGAGAACAAATCTCCAGTTTTCCAAGCCCAGAGACTCTCGTAGAATCTTTGTCACCTTAGCTGCAGCCACTGCTCGAAGAGATTCCTCTGGCAGTTTCTTTTTCTGCAGCGTTAGACACACATGCTCGAAACTAGAGGACAGTCCACTTTTCCTCTTTGATTCCCTTCATTGACTGCTACAGAATTAAGGGGTGGTTCTTCCATTCTTTGGGTCTCAGTTGTCCTTTAGTAAATATTTTTGCTAATCATTTAGAAATTAGGAAAAGTAGGGTCTTGAATTCAACCCCCTGCACTGGGCGTGGAGACTTATTTAAAAAAAAAAAAAAAAATTAGGAGCGCCTGGGTAGCTCATTGGGTTGAGCATCTGCCTTTGGCTCAAGTCGTGGTCCCAGGGTCCCTGCCCAGCAGGGCATCTGTATCTCCCTTTTCCTTTGCCCCTCCCCCTGTACTCTCTCTCAAATAAATAAAATTTTGAAAAAAATTTAGGAAAGGTAGTTTCACTCTTCAGGAAAGGGGTAGGGTTTCCCCAAGGTTAAATAGTTTGATTTATGCTGTTAGCTTCAAGCTGAGAGCAGCCTTTTTGGTGAGGTCTGACAGAGAGAGCCAACCTGTATCACCCCAGGCCTCGGAGTCCTTTTTCTCAGAAGTGACAGGTGAAACTGAGAAAGATAAGAGCAGGTTTATACTAAAACTCAGAAATGGATGCATCTTCTGTAGGTCGAATATAAAGGAATGTAACTTTTGATTTCTTTCCAAGGCCATGGAAATAGCATCTCAAAGGACCAAGGAAGAACGGTCCAGCCAAGAGCATGTGGATGAAGAGGTAAGATGGATTATCTATCCACAGTCGCAGGAAACACTTCTGAGTTTTTGTTTTTGAAGGACATGCTAGGTCATGAACTTGATTTTAAGAGAGAAGCAGTTTTCAGATGATGAGAATATTTCCTTGTACATAATTGAACTGAGCCAAATTGGATAAATTACATTTCATTACATCATTCCACTCAGCAGCCTATTAGCATATTGTCTTAGACGGAGAGCTTTACTTATTTGTTTGAAGAGTAGTTCATGCACGGTATTGTATTACTTTCAGATGTGCAGCACGGTGATTCGGCGTTTACGTACATTACTGAGTAGTCTAGTTACCATCTGTCACCGTATATATTATTATAATGTTACTGACTATATTCCCTATGCTATGTTTTAAATACCTGTGATTTATTTATCTTAAACCTAGAAGTTTATACTCTTAATCTCCTTCTCATTCCTCCATCCTTTCCCCATGTGGCACCCACCAGTTCTCTGTTTTTCTGAGCCTGTTTGTGTTTTGTTTGTTCATTTGTTTTTTTTTTTTAAAAGCGTCCACTTATAAGTGAAATCACATGGTATTCGTCTTTCTCGGTCTTATTTCACTAAACACAATACCCTTGAGGTCCATCCATGTTGTTGCAAATGGCAAGATTTCACTCATCTTTAAGACTGAGTAATGTTTTAGTGTGTGTGTGTGTGTGTGTGTGTGTGTGTGTACACACACATTTTCTTTATTAATGGGCTCTTCGTTACTTTGGCCATTGTAAATAATACTGCAGTGAACATAGGGGTGCATGTATCTCTTCGAATTAGTGTTTTTGTTTTCTCTGGATAAACACCCAGAAGTAGAATTGCTGAATCTTGTGGTAGTTCTATTTTTAATATTTTGAGGAACCTCCGTACGGTTTTCCATAGTGGCTACACCATTTTGCATTCCCACCAGCAGTGAATGGGCGTTCTCTTTTCTCTACATTTTTGTCAGCACTTAATTCTTTTTGATAATAGCCATTCTGACTGGTGCAAGGTGATCTCTTATTGTGCTTTAGATTTGTATCTCTACAGTGATGCTGAGCATGTTTTCATGGGTGTGTTGGCCATCTGTATGTCTCTGGGAAAATCTCTGTTTGGGTCCTCTGCCCATTTTTTAAATCATTTATTTATTGATTTATTTTTTTGGTGGTGAGTTTTTGAGTTCCTTTTATCTTTAGGATATTAACTCCCTACCAGATACATCATTTGCAAATTATCTTCTCCCACTTGGTAGATTGTCTTTTCATTTTGTGGATGGTTTCATTTGTTGTGAAAAGGTTTTCAGTTTGATGTAGCCCCGTTTGCTTGTTTTTGCTTTTGTTGCCCTTGTCTGAGGAGAAAGGTCCAAAAAAAGACTACTAAGACTGTGTTTAAGTTTACTATCTTTGTTTTCTTTTAGAAATTTTAAAGTCTTAGGTCTTACATTTAGGTTTTTGCTCTTTTGTGAGTTTATTTTTGTTTGTAAGATAGTCGTCCAGTTTCATTCTTTTGCATGTGGCGGTCCAGTTTTCCCAGTACCATTTACTGAAGAGACTGTCCTTTCCCGTTACATGTTCGTATCTCCTTGTTGTAAATTAATTGACCATATATGCATGGGCTTATTTCTGGGCTCTTTATTCTGTTCCATTGATCTACATGTCTGTTTTTGTGCTAGTGCTGTGTGCTGTTTCGATTATTACAACTTTTTTTTTAAAAGATTTTATTTATTTATTTACCAGAGAGCCAGCAAGATTACCAAAGAGTGAGCAAGAGAGAGGGAGAGAGTGAGAGCATAAGAGTATAAGCGGGGGGGTGGGGGGAGGGTGGGAGGGGCGGCAGGCAGAGGGAGAAGCAGGCTCCTTGCTGAGCAGGGGTCCCAAAGGGGACTCGACCCCACGACCCTGGGATCACGACCGAAGCTGAAGGCTGAGGTTTAACTGACTGCGCCACCCAGGTGTCCCTTTTTATAGCTTTGCAGTGTAGTTTGAAATTAGGGCATATCACGCTTCAGATAGAGAACATTTTTAAAGAACCCATTGAAACATGATTCAAGAAGGAAAAGCCCATTTCCGTACACAAATGTGAATTTTTAAATGATTTAAATGTTAATTTTGGTACCATTGTAGACTTTAAATATTTATGTGTGGTGAAAAAATTATTTTAATCTTGGGGATCAGGCTATTTTTTAGAGATTTAATTATTTGTTTGAGAGAGGGAGAGAACAATTGGGAGCAGCAAAGGGAGAGGGAGACAGAATTTCAAGCAGACTCCACACTAAGCACAGAGCCTGACATGGGGCTCGATCTCAGGACCCTGAGATCATGACCTGATCTGAAGCCAGGAGTCCATCTCTCAACCAACTGTGCCACCCAGGTGCCCCTATAGTGGACTTTTTATCAAAAGTTCTCTGACTGTTAGTGTGATGGATGAATATAAGGCATCCTGTATTTATCAGCACTTGTGAATTTTCACTATAGTAGGTGAGATTTCCATGTAAGAACATGTTCCTTTGTAAGGCACAGCCAGGGCAGTACTTGCTAACTGCAGCTCCATTCCTTTCTTTCCCACTCAAAAGCTTTTGGGAATGCACACAAGGGGAAAGAGGGCACTTCAAATCATTTCATGTTTTATGATTAGTAGCAAAGTCCTTTTGGGATGCCACACAGCAACGCCACTGTGTGCAGAGAGCCTGGCTGAGAATCAGTGCAATAGATGGTGACGGACTGCTCTGACGGGATGGGGGTGGGAAGCTCAGGGAATGAGAGAAGCACGTAAATAACCATTTTGATTTTCCTTTTCTCTGTTAGGTGTTTAAGCGAGCATATATTCCTAGAACCTTGAATGAAGTAAAGAATTATGAAAGGGATATGGATATAATGATGAAATTGAAGGAAGAGGACATGGCCATGAATGCCCAACAAGACAATGTGAGTACCTTGGTTCGTACGTAGATTTTTCTTTAAGCAGATTTATAGAGGAAGCTCCTGTCCCACACCTGCCATCTTGAATGTTGGCTTCTGGTCTTCTGAGATGGCTGTTTCCCTTTGATTAATAGATCCTCTGTTCACATTGGATGTAAAGGGAATTCACTGGTATTTGTGAAAGAAAATGGCACATTTGAGTCCAACAGACTATATTTGCAGAAAATGGAAGATCTGTGTAAAATCCGGGCTGTAAATAATTATTACACTAGGTTCATTAACATACATATTTTAAGGTCTGCAACATTTCCTCCTGTGGAAAGGCCAGATAGTAAATATTTTAGACTTTGCAAGCTAAGAAGCAAAATTGAGGCTATTATATAAAAAAGACTAAACATAATAAGTTATTTTTGCTTATTATAATGCTTGTTATAAAGACATAATAAGTCATTATAAGATAAGAAAAAAAATTTTCTCCAAAAATTGATGAAATTAAAAGCCCTTTAATATTAATTGAATACAGCTTTTCATGATTCCGCATACTGAGAAGAATGGAGTTATTTGGGGGAGGAGAATACATTCATTCCATTTAATTGAGAATCAAAGTTAGAATTTTCTATTATAAAATTGGTGGCAGACGTTCATTTGTAAAAACCGTCAGGCTGTGGGTGGGCTGTGGGCCATTGCTCATGCCTATATGCTTGGTGGGCAAGAATGATACACCGCGCTATAAACTTCCTGTGTTAGCCAGGGGATAAATTTAAGCACCTTTTAATAATCACAGAAGATTATGAGCCCACAGTGTTCACTTATAATATTGCAATGTGTGTTTTTCACTGTCTAGCTTTATGTTGATTCTTCTTTTTGTCTTTCTTCTTTTAAGATTCTGTACCAGACGGTTACAGGATTGAAGAAAGATCTGTCTGGAGTTCAGAAGGTATAAGAACTTGTGTTGCTGCTCATTTACACAAATACCCTTTGGAAGCGTATAAAACCTACTGCATACTAGAATTAAACTAACAATAGTATTACCAGTATAGATACTTTTGAAGTTTATGGGCATTTTCAGAAATGCTGTATTTGTGTTCACTTTTTTTTTTTTAAGATTTTATTTATTTATTTCACAGAGAGAGAAATCACAAGTAGGCAGAGAGGCAGGTAGAGGGGGAGGGGGAAGCAGGCTTCCTGCTGAGCAGAGAGCCCAATGCGGGCCTCGATACCAGGACCCCGAGATCATGACCTGAGCCGAAGGCAGAGGCTTTAACCCACTGAGCCGCCCAGGCGCCCTGTGTTCACTTTTTTTTTCCTTAACCGTAAAAGTGAATTATAGGAATTTGTGGTTTATTTCTGTCTCTCAGTTGTTCTGTTTTTGTTGCTGAGGCATTGATACTTTTTGTATCCTGGTCTTTATTTATGGAGTTTTTAATGATAACCAGGTGTTTCTTGATGTTTCCACAGTTAGCAACAACAAGGGAATCCGGTCTCCTACTATAGTATAGTAGTTATACTATAGTATAAAACCTGTTGCAGACCATTCTCACGGGTTTAGCAGTCTTACAGTTCTGGATTCCTGTAGTGTTTTTTCTCGAAACAATCTTGTTTTGTTTTACATTTTTAGAATGGTGTGGATTAACTAACATAAGCAAAAATAAAGGCACTTTTTGCTTATTTTAATGTTTTGTTTTGTTTTTAAATAGGCTCCATGTGGGGCACCTGGGTGGCTCAGTGGGTTAAGCATCTGCCTTCGGCTCAAGTCATGATCCCAGGGTCCTGGAATCAAGTCCTGAGTTTCCTGCTCAGCAGGGAGCCTGCTTCTCCCTCTGCCCCTCCCTCCCTTCACCGTTCCTCTGCTTATGCTCATTCTCTCTCTCTCTCCCCCTCACTGTCTCACTCTCTCTCTCCCAAGTAAATAAATAAAATCTTTTAAAGAAAGTCTCCACACCCAGCATGGAGCCCATTGCGGGGCTCGAATTCATCTGAGATCAAAACCTGAGCGGCGATCAAGAGGCAGACATTTAACTGACTCAGCCACCCAGGCGAACCTATTTTAATATTCTTTTTTTTTTTTATTCTATGCTTTTTTTTTTTTTAAGATTTTATTTATTTCACAGAGAGAGAGCACAAGTAGGCAGAGAGGCAGGGAAAGGGGGAGGGAGAAGCAGGCTCCCCGCAGAGCAGAGAGCCTGATGTGGGGCTTGATCCCAGGACCCTGGGATCATGACCTGAGCCGAAGGAAGAGGCTTTAACCCACTGAGCCACCCAGGCACCGCCTATTTTATTCTTAATTAAAGGCTTAAATACGAAGGATCATAGTTTGCTTTTCGAAAAGTTACTATGTCTTTGTTTTTGAAGAATTGAATTAGGAAAACACACACATTCAGTACATGTTACGTCTAGTAAGTGCTATGGGGCGGTCGTGCCTTGAATTTCAGCCCATGAAGGTTTTGTGAAAACTGGCTAGAAACCCTTTCTGTGCAACTGCCTTTTAAAAGATCATTTTTTCGTATAAAAGGAAAATCTGTTTTTTAAAAAATGGTTCCTGCTCTTTTAAAAACTGCTAAACTTCCTCAGGGAGAAAAAGCACAAATTTCTCTTATTAAAATATTATTTTCCCTCTCGATTGGATTAATAGTAAGTGTTGCTTGAAATTCAGTTCATAGGAAAACAGCTGTGAAGTTATCCAAATAAATCTTTATTTCTTCACTTCTATCTGTATTTCTCATCCTTTCACACCGCAGCTCAGTTCCGTCGGTGATCTGGGTCACCCCGTGAAGCCCCGGTTCCTTCATTTGGGTGTGTTCTGGAGCCTCACTCGATGTGCTGCTTCCTCACTTCCTCTCAGATGTCGATTCTGTTGTTCTCGATGTTTCAGTACAGGATGCGGTTCACCGTATACCTGGAAGGCTGAAAAATCTGAATTCTAGCATTAACGCAGTGGACAGTAGGGTTTAGAGTAACATGGTTTTGTAATATTTTCAAGGTCCCTGCACTTCTAGACAATCAGGCTAAGGGAGAGGCTTGTTCCAGTTCAGAAGATGCTGGAAGCTCCGAGTGCTCTGACACAGAGGCTGAAGAGCAGCAAGACCAGGCCTGCCCCGGGAAACCCACTGCTGACACCGAAGTTGGTAAAAAGGTGAGCCGAGGAGGGAATTTCTCTTGTTCTTCAGCATGGCAGCAAAGCCAGTTTCGTTTCTCTGTGCTCAAGATTAGATGATTAGATGAGTCAATTGTAATGGCTGGAAACATTGATCATTAAGTACTTGTAGCTGTAGTGCTAGTTTCTCCGCGTGAGCTTTGCCTTTGGAGGTCACATCCTGTGGAGATTGGGCTTCTGTTAGGAGCTCCCCAGGCACTGCCTGGAGAGAAGACACACTGAATTCATTGATTAGAAATGATTGTCATTCACTTGACACACAAGTGATGTTGGAGTTGTCTCGTGGTGAAATACTGAAGGGCCATTTCGCAGGGGATGTGCAACTAAGCCGGTGTTTCCAGAATCTAAAAGACTGATTCCACTCTTAGCCATCGGCATGAGACGAATGGTACATAATTGCTGTCTAAATGTTCCTGTTTATTCTTAGCTTAAGCCTTTAAACCCTACAATGTTCTGGTCCCTAAAACTTCTGAGAGAGTTATTATACCCAAGTTAATGCTCACATTTTCTCTCTTCGTCTACTGCAAATACTTTGTCTCTTTCCAACCTTTATTTCTATTAGAATCTGAAACTTGTGAAGAAATAGTTGCAAACATTTAATAATCCTCCCAGATATTTCTGTTGGGCACTCTTCAAATTTCTATTAAGAAACCCTAGAGACAAATTTGGAACCAAACTGCACCACCGCATCCTAATTATTTTCATCTTTCCTGTTATACTCACTTTTATCCTTTCATATATATTTTCTTACTTAGTTGTAATAGTAAAATGAATACTCTTGAATGAAATCTGCAGGTTCCTTTCTTTCTTTATTTTGTTTTGTTTTGTTTTACAGGAAAGAAAAAAGATGGTCAAGGAAGCCCAGAGAGAGAAAAGAAAAAACAAAATTCCAAAGCATGTGAAAAAAAGAAAGGAGAAGACAGCCAAGATGAAAAAGGGCAAATAGAATGAGAAATTGAGACATAGAATAATCTTCCATCAGTCACTTTTCCCGCCCACGCAATGAGCTGTGTCTGGAAGGGTTTCTCACGGCGGGGTCCGGCGGAGTCGTGAAGACGGGGTCACATGTTCTCCTGTAATCCTGTAACAAGCTCTAAGCTCTCCTGTCTAGAGCCTCTCACTGCCTCCGGGTGGTACTGACAGAGGATTTATTTAAACTACTATTTTAATGAAGAGCTTTGTATAATTTTATTTTTATATGTATTTTTTTCTCCTGCAATATGTTTTGGAAGCATCATGAATGTTTGAATGTGACCAACATCCGTAGTCTAAACGTGAACATCAGGGTACTCTGGACAGACCTGGGCGGATTGTTTTCGCTTTGCTCGTCCCTACCAGGGACCCGTCTGAAATCCTCTGATCCCAGGGCCACGGTTTCTGTAGAAGAGAGTTTCACCTATAAGAGGATTCAGTTGGCTCTTGATGTCATCATCCACTGGGACTCTGTGCTGTTGCTGCTCGTTTGGGATGCCCTTACTCCTCGCCTTCATTACTCTTGAGTGAAGACATCGCAGGCCCTGAGCTATTTCACATTCATCTCTTTGGCCTGTTTGCTCATTCATCGAATATTTGAGTGTTTTAGGTGCTAGGGATACAGCAGGAAACAAAACTGAAAAATGACCACCTTCAGGTACTTTACATTTTGAAAGCAAGACATTCAACAGATAAGTAAAAAAAACAGTATCAGTAGGGGTTAAATTCTGTGGTGAGCAATAATGCTGAACAGAGAATGCTGGGGAGGGGGAGTTTGCAGTTGAAAAACAGGCCGCACCGAGCAGCTACATTCGAGCAAATACTTGAGGAACGTGAGTCATGTGCGTGTCGGGAGAGAGGATTGTTCCGGGCAAAGCAAACAGCAAGTGTGAAGTCCTCGAGGCAGAAGTGTGCCTGAAATGTTCCAGAAACGAGGTTCCCATAACCGAGAAAGAGGTCAGGTGGTGCGAGGCTCTTAGAGGGTTTCGAGCAGAGGAATGATATGCTCTGACTTGTGTTTTGGAAGGCTCTCGCTCTCTTTGGCTTTGGTGGGGACCTGAGTCGGAAGCAAGGGTGGGAGACCAGGGGTCCGTTACTGTAGTAACCCACGTGAGAGCTGGTGATGGCTCCGTTCTCAGGGTAGCAGCGGACATGACAGTGGCCGGATTCTAGGTTTAACTGAGTGGAGCGAACTGGATGCGCTAAGGGAATATGGGAGGCGTATGACTGAGGGACGGTTTCAGGGTTTATGACCCAAGCGACTGCGAGACTACAGCAGTTGTCACTTCCGGTGCTGGGAAGCTCTGTGGCTGGGGCAGGATTGGCGGTAAGCTTCCATTGCAGCAGAGCACGGAAGTCCAAAGAAATGATCGACTTTTAATTTTTCTTACCGTATATTTTCTATTGGAAATCCTACTTTAGCCCTTGCATCAGAAACAATTGCTACAAATAAATTGAGTTTCCCTGAAACTGAAGCTTGCACCTGGTTGTTTTACGGTTGGTGGGCTACTAGGGGAGGGCGGGGCACGGTCAGCTGAACTTTTAAAATTTTAGGTCGTACTTATTATTGTTCATATTCTCCTCCCCTCCTGACTTTAAAAAAGTTCAAAATCCAAAATGTAAATTTGGGGCTACAACAGTAGCCCCTCTTAAATAGCCTACAGTTAGCCGGAGAGAAACCGACTTAGCAATCCTGTACGTGTTTGGGGTTTTATCTTCAGGATCTTCCCTTTCTCGCACGTGTTTGATCTTACTCTCGGACAAGGTGTGTTTGGGGGGTCAAGCTCCTCAGTGCTCTCTTTTTCTGAATCTAATACAGTTACAGAATTTGGAATCAATGTCTCCGGGGCAGAAGTAGTGTTAGCAAGATAACAGGAACAATACATTCTCATTGGCATTGCTGCGGGGAGAAAGTGGCTTGTAAGACCCCCAAATTTGGGACTCTTAGGGGATTCTAATTTGAGGAACATTCTTCTGGTAACTGTTGCTGATAGTCCGTTTCCTTGTTTGGATTCAGGGCCGCAGGCCGTACCGACCAGTAACCACTGCTGATATTCCTGGCAAACTTGTTTGAAACCGTGTTTCCCCGTTCCTGTCTTTCTCACCCAAAGGCTTGGAAGAAGGAGCCTATTCTTAAGCAAACTTAGAGGGTTACTTGCTGACTTTGACTGCAGCTGAATTTTGAGTGCTTGACAGGTTTGAAGTGCCCACGGATTCATTATTTTCATTATTGGTACAGTTACTTTCCATCTGGGGAGGTGGGGTTTGGGTCTTGACTCAAAGGCTGGGGCATAACTTTGTCGGTTGTCAATGTGTCTGATTTCCTGTCCTATTTTGTTGATATTTAATCCTTCCACATAATGTGTTTCTGTTTACTGTGAGAAATTGGGGTCATTTCTTTAAAGCACAAAATCACAGCTCTCGCCTGTGCCACTCTAGTTGTCCTTCTTCCTTTGCTAAAGCAGTTTGGGCACAGAACTTCCACCGCCCCAGCATCTGAGCATGGCCTTGCAGCAAAGAGACATGGACTGTGGCAGCTTTTTGCCTCAGTCTAACCAAATGGGAACCCAGGGTTCCGGACTGCTGTCAGGTTTCCTTCTGCTTTATCTCTACTCAATGGAGATGGACTCAAGAGGTTGGAAAACTCTATGGTTTGGTACTAAGTTGTTTGAGACCATCTCTTCTTCTCATGAATGTTCTATTGAATTCAGTGCAAGCAGCTTGCTGTTTCTTGGTAGCAGGCCCATCCTGTTTTTGTGGCTGTGATTTCATTAATCTTTTGGCTCAGAAAATGAAGAGTTGAAAAAAAAATTCTTCGAAAAGCTGGTAAAAGTTCAGTTTTAGGATAACTCCAGTGTCATGACTCCAAATGAGGACATTAAAATCCTTTCATTTTCCATAGCTTTGACAGGTTCTCTAATTTTTCATTGTCTGTACGTAGTAAGTAGAGACCATGCCCATTCAGAGCTCTGCCTTGACTTCTGGGGGTTACTTTTTGATGATGAAAGAGTTGCATGGATCAGCAGCTTCTCAAAGTTTAGTTTCCTAGGAAGATGTTTGGCAACCACATCAGATGGACACAGTTTTCAACCGTGGGCGATCAGGAAGCAGGAGCTCTTTATGTTTTGTCTCCAATCAGATTGAGTTATTACACTCCCTACATTTTGCTTGCAGTTTTTAACTTCCATAGCCTTTGAGTTTATGTTGCCTTGGATAAAAAGGCTTTTATAAATGTCCCAGGGAGGGACGCCAGGGTGGCTCAGTTGGTTAAGCATCTGCCTTTGGCTCAGATCTTAATCCCAGGTTCCTGAGATGGAATCCCACATTGGGCTCCCTTGCTCAGCAGGGAGCCTGCTTCTCCCTCTGCCTGCCGCTCCCTCTGCTTGTGTGCTCCCTCTCTCTCTCTCTCTCTGACAGATAAATAAATAAAATAAAAAAAATAAAATTGTCCCAGGGGAAATTGTAGTACAGGGTATCAAATCATTTAAGCTAGTTTCCAAAGGAGAAGATGCCTTTCTTGCATCTGTGTCCTCCAGAGATCTCAGTCCCTGTTGACAGTGGTGAGGAAACCTCTGGACTTGAATGTGGGCAACCAAAACTTGAATTGATGGAATTGTTGATTGGTTTTTGGCTTTCCTTTCCTTCATTTTCTGCATCACTCCACATCCTGCTTTAAGTGCTGGCAGGCCGTGATTATGAGCAGGTGGGCTCTCCTGTGGCTAGTCTAATCACACAGCCACCTTGTCCTTGTCCTCAGGGGTTCTCCCCCCAGAATAGTACGGGGGTCATTTAATGTGCAAGCAGAGCTATCTCTAGCTCTCTAGAGAGGTTTCCATGTCTCATTAGTGCTACTTAGTAATTTTGTTGAAAGGCTGACCAACTTCCATCTACTTTGGGCGAAGTTTTAGCCTTTACAAACCCTGTATGTGAACGTCATGGGGTTGTAGATTTGTCGGTGAAAAAGATCCTTGGGGCCAAAGAATTGTTGGAATCAGGATGCTGGAGTGCAGAAGCTGGAAAGAGAGGAGGTGAGAGATACTGAAGGTCATGCTCGTGGAGGGTTGCCCTTGGCGTGATATCTGTCGGTGGCCGCAGGAAGGGAGCAGGCAAGAGCACTGAAGGCTGGAAAGGTCAAGGACCTGAGGCCAGGGCTTGGCAGGACCATCTGTGTTAGGACAGGCCTCGCTTTAGAGCATCAGTAAGGGCCCTCCCTGCTTGAATCCTCAGGGCAAGAAGGGAAGTGGGCTGGGAGGGGGTGGCATCGATGCCTGCCCCCGGGAGGTGAGTGGTGTCCCATGACCTGAGATTCAGGGTGGCGGGGCAAGCAGTGCCCTTGGGAGAGCCGGAGTATAAATGGGACAAGGAAGAGGGAACCCGCAGAGAAGACGCCGAGGACACAGGGCTTTTTGCTGGTGTCTGACCAGGAGTTCTGAAAGTCCCTGTGGGAGTATTTCAGGACTTAGAAAGGTGTGAAGGGGTCTCTTTGAGCTCAGGTGCAGGCCCCTTGGTGGCGTTGGTAGCTTCAGTTTCTCAGAACCTGCTCCATTAAGTAGGCAAATGCCGTGACTGTGGTGGGGACAGTAGCTGTGCCCACCTCACAGAGTTGGTGTGAGGGATGCTGAGGAGAGCTGCAGGCAGCTTGTGGAGGCCGGGACCCATGCCTCAGTCACTGGAAAGGGAACAGCCAGGCACGTGGGGGCTTCTGTTGCGGTGTAGGGAGAAGAACACATGACCACCTGTGAACTCCCTTGCCTCCTGCAGAAGCCACCGAACCCGAATCCAGGGAGCTTCCTGATGTCATCAGCAGTGACAGGAAATGCACCGCTCACAGGGACGGGATAACTGATGTTGGGAGCAATCGGTCCGCCAAATCCAAGTCAGAAGGTCTGTCACGGAAAAAGGAAGAGCTATTGCAAAACGTGAAAGCAGTCGAAGAGACCTGCATCCCAGTGCTGGGGACTTCGTTTGGATCCCGATTAGACCAAACCAGTTGTAAAAAGATGGATTTTTTGGGACGCCCGGG